GTCCAGTCCCTAGTAGGTGTTCGACACCCTCATGTTTGTTAAACCGAAACATTGGTTTTGCTTTGCTTCTGGTTCTTTGTTGGCTGTAGTGGATGACCATGTGAGATACCCAAATAACACAACTGAAGCTATGTGTAGAATCGCTACGCCGTAAAGCACTGTCGCTAAACTGCCCATTTAACTCTTTTAACTCTATTTTGGAGCAGTTTGTTAACCTTAGACTTTTGACTGCAGATTGAACCAATTAGCTACAGCTGGAGGGAAAATTAAAAAGTAATCACCAAAATTATCTTTATCTAATGTTCTTGGTAAGGGAAAGTATGTCGCATTCCAAGAAGGGAATCTTTTGCCCGGTTCACTTTTTGGTTTAAGGATTCATGTTTAGCAAAATCCTAGTTCTTCTCTGCACTTGGAAAGAAATAAATGCCTTTTTTCTTCCCTTTTGGACTATATGTGACTACAAAAGTGGTGGTTATCCTTGACTGCCATGGTCCAGCAGAAATTTTCATTTGAGCCACAAATGTGAGCCACGTATGTAATTTTAAATTTCTAGTGGCCACACTTAAAAAAAATATGAGAAGCAACAAGTGAAATTAATTTTCATAACATACGATTATATTGAAAATGTTCTGTACCCAGTTTCTGGTGTGGGTGAGAGGGGAGGAAGTTCCCCGTACCAGCAAGCAATTCTCAGACACCAGCAGGGTATCTGAGAATTCAATTTGGTCTCCCTGAAGATGGCATCAGATCCCACAGGCGAAGGGCTCAGCCCACAAGACCACCCTCCACTTCTGATGCCAGTCGCAAGCCAAGGTTGTTACCTGTGCTTCTGACCAACTAGCTACATACATATTAGAGGTTCCCATGACCCCCTCCTTGGGTCCAATTAATTTGCAAGAGCAGCTCACCGAACTCAGGAAATGTATTTGTTTACCAGATTACCAGTTTATTATAAAAGGATGCAACTCAGAAATAGCCAGATGGAAAAGATGCATTGGGCAAGGTAGGGGGAAAGGGTGTGGAGATCCCATGTCTTGCCCAGGCGCGCTGCTTTTCCCCAAATCTCCATGTATTCACTAACCTGGAAGCATTCCGAACGCCATTCTTTTGGGTTTTTATGGAGGCTTCATCATATAGGCATGATTGATTGAATCATTGGCCTTTGGTGATGGCTTCAACCTCTGGCTCCTCTTTCCTTGTGAATCAGAGATAGAACTAAAAATGCCAACCCTCAATCAGTGGGTTGGTTCCCCTGCAACCAGCCCCATCCCCACCAGTCCTCTAAATTCACCTTGTTAACATAACACAAGGCACCTGTATAGTTCTCATCACCTAGGAAATTCCAAGGGTTTTAGACACAGGACAAAAACCAAATATATGTATTTCTTATTTTATTTTTTTTTTATTTTAAAAAAAATTTTTTTTCCAATGTTTATTTATTTTTGGGACAGAGAGAGACAGAGCATGAACAGGGGAGGGGCAGAGAGAGAGGGAGACACAGAATCGGAAACAGGCTCCAGGCTCTGAGCCATCAGCCCAGAGCCTGACGCGGGGCTCAAACTCACGGACCACGAGATCGTGACCTGGCTGAAGTCGGACGCTTAACCGACTGCGCCACCCAGGCGCCCCTGTATTTCTTATTTTAAATCACAGTATCTATCACAGTATTTAACCCCATCCATCCAAATATTATCCTTTAATATGCAATCGATGTAAACTTACATTCATGTGATATTTTACATTCATGTTTGTACTAAGTCTTTGAAATCCAGCGTGCATTTTACATTGAACAGCACATTGCCGTTCAACCTTAAATAGCCGGTCACCACCATATCGGACAGACCGTTCTAGTTAGCTAACATTCGTGGAGATTTTCTGTGTGCTGCAAGCTCTGCCTGCATTCTGTCAATTAATTTGCACACCTCTGCAGTCGATGCTGTTGGACTCTTTTTACAAATAAGCAAACTGAAGGGCGCCTGGGTGGTTCAATCAGGATGAGCGTGGACTATTGATTCTGGCTCAGGTCATGATCCCAGGGTCCTAGGATCAAGCCGGGGTGTCGGGCTCCGCACCGAGCATGGCACCTGCTTCGGATTCTCTCTCTCTCTCTCTCTCTCTCTCTCTCTCTGTCTCTTGCTCTCTTCCCCTGTCTTTCTCTGTTCAATAAATAATAACAAAGCCAACTGAGGCTTAAAGAGCTTAATTATTTGCCTGAGGACAGCTAGTGGGTGTGGTGGAGCTGGGCCTGGGCCACGGGGCTTTGACTTCAAAATAGTGTACTGAACTAAAATGAGAGCCATCACAAGAGGCAGCCTGACAGATTCTGAAGCATTTACGAGAGGATATTGAAGATTAGACACAGGGGTGGAGGCTGCTTAACAGCAGGTCACAAGGTGTCTGGAAACAGTTTGAAAGAGGGAACTTTTTTTTTTTTTTTTCCAGGAGGAGGATACATTTTGAAGCAAACTGTTGGGCGAAGGAGCACTATTACTTTACCCATTAAGACACTACCACCCAGATCCCATGTAGCTCGTTTTTTCCCTGCCAGGATGTCTGTTTGGCAACCATTCGATTGCCACATACTTAGAACAGAGACTTCTCTTCCTTCCATTTTAAACTTCCATCTGCTACAAGAAGTTTGGGTAAAAGTATATGCTACAGTGACTGGTACGAATTAAGGCTAGAGTCTCTGAACAACCCTGATGCCATGGCTTTGTTGTAAAGGTCTGTAAAATATTATCCTGGTCTCATGGATTATACAAATGGGCACAAATGGCAGCTTCCTCCTTTTCCTTCACACGGTGTTAAAAATGAGTAAAATATGTTTCCCATTGCACTTCCCTTGTCCTTGCAGACTCAGGGAACTCATTCTAAGTTTCCACGTCTTTGTAGAAATGTTTTGTTTTTACTGAAATATGTTTTTGATCAAGAACATAATCTCACGATTGCGTATATGTTTCTGAAACAAGTATGTATATGGAACAAGTGCACGGAGGGGGACTCGGGCTCTGGTGGCTGGTCCCAGGACTGGGCATTCTTGAGTCTAACCTCAGCCTTACCACTAATTTGGTAGATGATCTGAAGAGAAGGAACCAACCTCTGCCCTTCCTAATCAATCTCTTGTTCTGTTACTCTCATTTCTGAAGAATTGGAACACAATTTGACCCAGGTCAGTAATTTCATCGAAAGAAGAAATTATTCAACTCTTGAATTCTTGAGATGTCATAGACTCCAGGCAAGCTCCGCAACAGTGTTAATTCTTTATGACACGTTTGAATGTGTGGCTCATTTTTCCGCACATGTTACCTGAATATTGAGTTAGACGGTCTTGCTCACCTACCCCCATCCTGCACCGTAAACTTTGTGAGGCAGGTAGAAGAAGATATAATCCCATAATACACTAATAACAATAATGAATTATAGTTAGAGAAACCCTTTTCTGGGTGCTTTATGAACTGCTTTACACACATCTAATTTAATGCCGATGGCAGTAGATGTAGACACAATCTCCATGTTATGAATGAGAACACTAGCTTGCCCAAAGTGGCTGAGTCAGGACTTGAATCAAGGTGAATGTAATCTCATCAATGCTTGTAACCAGTAGGCTATACACTCCCACTAATAAGAAGATATTCCAATCCTGTGCCAGATTTACAGGACTAGTTGTTGGTAGTTTCGTAATGAAAAGCCAGAGCTCTCAGCTCTCATACCAGTAAGTTTACTGCTGTGTTACAACTTACACACATTTGTAGTGCTTCAGGAAAGGAAAAAGCAAATCAGTAAAAACGGCAAATCCTTGCTTTAATCTTTCTCTAGCTTTTAAAATTACTCCTATTATCGTTTTTGTTTGTTTAATTGAGGTGAAATTCACATAACGTGAAATAAACTATGTTTTAAGTGAACAATTCAGCAACATTTGATACCTTCACAAGGTTGTATAACCACCAAGTCTACCTAATTCCAAAATATTTTTATAATTCTAGAATAAAACCCCCTACCCAGTAAAAGGTTTCTCCCCATTCTGCATGCCTCCAGCCCCCGGAAAACATCAATCTGCATCCTGTCTCTACGGATTTAGCTGTTCTGGAACATTTCATGTAAACGGAATCATACAATATGGGACCTTTTGTAGCTGGCTTCTTTCATTTAACAATGTTTCCAAGCTTCCTCCACATTGTGGCAGGTATCACTTCATTACTTTTTATGGCTAACTAATATTCCACTGCATGGATAGAACACTGTTTTTCCATTCATTCGTTGATGGAGGTTTGAGCTGTCTCCACCTTTGGCTATTGTGAATAGTGTTACTGTAAACATGCATGTACATGTACTTGAGTACCTGTTTTCACTACTTTTGTCTATAAAGGAATAGAGTTGTGGGCTCACATGATATCTCTATGTTCAACTTTTGGAGGAACTGTCAAACTTTTCCACATCAGCTGAAGCATTTTACATTTCAACCAGCAATGTAAAGTGTTCCTGTTTCTCCACATCCTTGCTGATACTTATTTGGTTTTTCATTCTTATAGCTAGGCTGGTGTATGTCAAATTGTACCACAGTGTGATTTTTGTTTACATTTCCCCAGTGATTACTAATGTTGAGCATCTTTTCATGTGCATGTTGGCCCTTTAAATATCTTTTTTAGAGAAATGTCTATCTGATGTTCTTGGCCATTTTTTATTGGTTTCTTTGACTTTCTGATGTTGAGTTGTAAGAATTACTTACATGTTCTGGATACCGCATTTTGTCAGGTGTATGATTTGAAAATATTTTCTTCATCCATTTTTCTTTTGCTGCTCATATCTTGGGTGTCATTATCTAAGAATACATCACCAAATTTAAGGCCAGGCAGATTTTACCTGTATATTTTCTTCTAAGAATTTGATGGCTCTAGCTCTTATATTTAGGCCATTAACTCATTTTGAGTTTCTTTTTGTGTGTGGTGGCAGGTAGGGTTCCTGTTTACTCTTGTTTACTCTTCTTTTTTTTCCCTTCCTAGGAACCCTTGGAAGCAAAGGACTACACATCTTTAACCTGACTTCTCTAACCAAGTCTGAAAACATTTTATCTGCCACACTGTATTTCTATGTTGGAGAGCTAATAAACATCAGCCTGAGTTGTCCAGCATCCCGAGGATGCTCACCTCATGCTCAGAGGAAACACGTTCTGATTGATCTCTCTGCGTGGATCCTCAAATCTGACAGAAACCAAAGTCAACACCTCGGTCACCTTTCAGTAGATGTAGCCAAATCTCATCGAGACCTTGGGTCCTGGCTGTCTAAAGACATCACTCAGCTCTTGAGAAGGGCCAAGGAAAATGAAGAGTTCCTCATAGGATTTAACATTACCTCCAAAGGACACCAGCTGCCAAAGAAGATGTTGCCCTTCCCCGAGCCTTATATCTTGGTGTATGCCAACGATGCTGCCATTTCTGAGCCGGAGAGTGTGGTATCAAGCTTGCAGAGGCACCGGAATTTCCGCATTGGAGCTGTGCCTAGACCGGACGGCCATATCAAGGCTGCCCTTTCTACTGAACGGAGAAGGAAGCGCTCGGCTGGGGTCCTGCTGCCTCTGCAGAACAACGAGCTTCCTGGGGCAGAATATCAGTATAGGGAGGATGGGGTATGGGAGGAGAGAAAGCCTTACAAGACCCTTCAGACTCAGGCCCCAGAGAAGACTAAAAACAAAAAGAAACAGAGAAAGGGACCCCCCCAGAAGAGCCAGACTCTCCAGTTTGATGAGCAGACCCTGAAGAAGGCCAGAAGAAAGCAATGGATTGAACCGCGCAATTGTGCCAGGCGGTACCTTAAAGTGGACTTTGCGGATATTGGCTGGAGTGAATGGATCATCTCCCCCAAATCCTTCGATGCCTATTATTGCTCCGGAGCATGCCAGTTCCCCATGCCAAAGGTAGCCGCTGTTCTCTGTCCTATACTTCCTGTTTCCGTAGAGGAGAAAGACACACTGACCGAGAGTGTGTTTTCATTTACGAAATCCATCTGGACACTTATTTATTGCCTTCTGACATGTACTAGGCAAGAATGGTTACGCTTGGTTTTTCTTTAATGGTTGCTAAGGTGATATGAAGTCAGTATCGGTATGAGGAAGGATATGAGAAAAAATGTAAAATATGTGTTTTGTGCTTCTTCCAAACACAGTGCAATCAGCCATGTGGTCTACTCAGCTGGGGGCAAATCTGTATCTGCCCACAATAAGCAAGCCGCAAACGACAGAAGGCTGATAATTGGAGAGGATATTCAGAGAATGACTAGATGTCATGGGGAAAAGGAAGGGAAAGGACTAATTGCATCGATGCCCTGTGCAGAATTTTTTGACAAATAGTTTCTCATGAGATGAACTGGCCCCACCAGAGTCAGGATCAGGGTTGGGCCAGGTAAACTCACCTCATGAAATCCACCAGATGCTTATTTCATTTGCTTCCCTAATAAACATCAAAAACAAAGGTAACATAGGGTATGTGGACTCTATAAGCTTCTTCCAAAATTTACTTCATCCGGTCAGAGCTTACCTGTGTCTCTTCCAAAATCAGTGGAAACTGTACTGTATCGCATCAGTACTCAGTATCCTGACGAATATATTCTCAGAAGCTTCCCCAATCCCACCACTGCCTTGCACAGCAAATCCAAGTGACTATTTTCTTTGAATTTAGAGTTAGTAAAGTAGAGTGGTGCCCTCTGGCCTTCAGTTAGGCTTATCTCTGAACCTCTATTCTTAGCTTATAACGGTTTGAATCTCTGACATACAGTGAAAAGGGACTGTAGGAATAGAATTCAGAGAAAGAATAGAGATGGGGTTTTTTTGTTCTTTTTCTCAAAACTTGAGGGGAATCAACTTTTGCTGTTGCATAATAACAGAGAAAAAAAAATCTTTTGCCTCAAAGAGTGAGCAACTTCTACCTATAGATCTTTAAATTATCATGTTCATGTTCTAGTGTCATGCTCATTGGGATGTTTAATGGAACACATGCATAAAGGTCTGGCCGAACAAAAGCAGGTCAGCCTCTGGGCCAGTAACTTGATTGGAATCGCGTTTTCTTCTTAGAATGTCTCAGAAGAAAAAGTTTTCTACATCTTCTAAGACTTGTCTCTCCCAAGGATTTTTGTCGACTCCATGTTCTTTAAATCTAAACACAAAATAAGAATTATATACATTTACTATGATATAAACAGCCTTATCTTGTCTAAGTATTCATAAAGGGTATATCACTGTCAAACAAAACTTTTGCCAATTGGGACAGCATTTTTTTTTTTTAATTTTCTTTAATGTTTAGTTATTTTTGAGAGAGAGAAAGACAAAGCCATGAGGGGGGAGGGACAGAGAGAGAGGGAGACAGAATCCGACGCAGGCTCCAGGCTCTGAGCTGTCAGCACAGATCCTGACACGGGGCTTAAGCTCACAAAACATGAGATCCTGACCTGAGGTAAAGTTGGACACTTAACCAATTGAGCCACCCAGACGCCCCGGGATAGCATTTAAAAACAGACCACAAAGATGCAGAATGTTAACAGCGATGAATCTTTATAGTGTGGGTTGCTTTGTGGCATTGAGAGACAAAATGAATTCTCAATCTGTCTCTGAACCCAGGATGACTGATTTTAAGTGGGTCTGTGAGTTTTCCAAATAATCTCTCACACTCGTAAACTGTAATTTCTTCTATGTAGCCTGGGGAAATAATTTTTCTTCCTGACTCCAAATTTTCATACCCAGGGAGCCATGACAATATGGAGCTATTCAGTGAGTTTTCAACTACCCACTCTGGAGACCTGGTCTGGTCTCCGCTCTGCCACAGTTACCCCGTCTTACCCCTTCCATCTTGCTCTGACTATGCAAAACCCTGCCATTGCTTTGGTAGTTCTTCATGATGGTTCTCAGTGATGAAAAGAATAATTATTTAAAAACCTTATGAGGGGGAGGGGTGCCTGAGTGGCTCGGTCGGTTAAGCCTCTGACTTCAGCTTCAGGACTTCTTGGTCCGTGGGTTTGGGCCCCACGTCGGGCTCTGTGCTGACAGCTCAGAGCCTGGAGCCTGGTTCAGATTCTGTGTCCGTCTCTGTCTCTGCCCCTCCCCCACTTGCGCTCTCTCTCTCTCTCTCTCTCTCTCTCTCTTGAAAATAAATAAACATTAAAATTAAAAATAAAACTTCTAAGGATAAGTTAAGAGTAACAGATAAGTTTAAGGAGGGAAGTGTGTTAATGCAGCAGAATGATTAAATGTACATGCTTGGTTGTAGCAGGACTTCTTAACTGTAATGCGGCTGCAGTTTGCCTGGGAACACGGAGGTTCTGATCCAGTGGTTCCGGGCATATAGCCTAATATTCTGCGTATCCAGTGCAGCTCCTAGGTGTTGCTGATGTTGCTGGTCCACAAATCCCACTTTGAGTAGCAAAATTGAGGGCTAAATGTGGTTTGGGGGAGAACTCATACGGTTGACCCTTGAACAACAACACGGGGGTTTGGAGCACTGATGTCTCGCACAGTCAAAAATCCATCAGTAAGTCCTAACTCCCCCAAAACTTAACTACTAATAGCCACCTGTTGATCGGAAGCCTTATCAATAACATAAACAGTAGATTAACATGGATTTACTATGTTACATGTATTCTATATTGTATTCTTAACAATAAAGTAAGCTAGAAAAAAGAAAATATTCAGAAAATCATAAGGAAGGGAAAATACATTTGCATTACTGAATTTATCCAAAAAAAAAAAAAAAATCTACGTATATGTGGACCCATGCAGTTCAAACCTACATTGTTCCAGGGTCAGCTGTATGTTAGTGTTCTCAACTTTGAAATGGGTACAATAGTACATGATAAAAACAATAGTTTCTACATAATAACAACAGTGGGTAAACAAAACAGTAGAACACCGTGCACATGGTAGGCGCTCCATAAGTATTTGCTATTAATATTTGTATTAAAGGTCATTGTTGAGACCGAGGAGAACAGAAAATTCAATGTAGGGGGCTGAAGGAAGACCAAATGGGAAAAGGGATCAAGAGAATAAAAGATGTAAGACAAGAAAAAGTTTTACAAATGTTTCTACTCCCTTTTCAAACATCACAAAGCCTAAAATAGGATTCTCCCTGCAGGTTCAACAGCCTGTAAGCTCTTCCAGTAACGTTTCTTTGGAGAGTAATAGAATCAGGACAGCATTGGTTGCAACAACTGAACTCATCATAATATTTGTCAAAACTTGGAATGGCATCAGAACTCCAGGGAGACATAACAGGGAGAAGTGTGGAGTTTTCTCTCTGAGCCTGAGATTTCCTTTTGCCAAGTTGAGAGTGGAAGTTTGGCTGTTACATGGAGTTCTCTATCTCTCATCACCTTGTGAGAATCGGCTTAACTTTTAAGGCTTTCTAGTGGTTCCCTTTCGGCCTTCCAGGCTCTGTGGCTTTCAGGTGGTGTGATAACCAAAAGGATGGGTAACACGAAGCAATACGAAGCTGCTATGTTAGGGGTAATTAATAAGCATTGCTATTGTCAGTACAGCTTCCAACATGGTAACCAGAGCGAGCTATTAAGAGAAAAATACAGTCGGAGCAACAGAGGAAAATAAGGTCTCTGACCAGATCAGTACAAACACATGTGGAATAACTGAGGCGCCAAAGAACTTTCAGACTTTAGATACACATTTTGCCCCAGAGAAAAGTTCTCCCAGGCCAGACTCCTCTGCTGGCCCTCCTTCCTTTTGGCCTCCTTCGCGAAAGCCTGCTCTATATGGCGGGGCTCTCCGTCTGCAAAAGTCGACAACCTGTTCTGTAATTCAGAACAGCTGTGTGCTGCCTTTCCCAAATTCCAGGCTTTGCCCTTTCACTGATTCCAATTAGATAGTTTCTGGGCTATCACACCCATGTGGGCTGGACTGGGAGAGTGTGGAGCAAAACCCCATGGCCCAGGTCAGGAATGAAGGCTCTTAGCTGATGACACACTCTCCCTTGCTAATGCATTTGTAATCAAATTCAACTCGAGGACATCAGGCGCCGCTTGGCAGGTGCGGGCCGGACCACTGCAGATTTCATTCACAGACACGGCCGCATGGATTTTTCTGATTTCTAGCCCCTACAGCCAATCTGTTCTCCCAGGGAGAGACCCCTGGAATTCTGCCATGAGATGAAAAATACCCATATAGCTAAGGCCAAGTCGTATGCCTTTGCTTCCCCCTCACCACCTTAGCGGAGATGGAAAACAGAGCTTTCAAATGAAATGAAAACGATTGAGCCATTGTTGCTGACCGAGATGCGAGAGAACCCACAAGGATTAGAGGAATGGAGTTATTTTTTTCATGGAATCGTGCGGAAGCTAAGGATAGCAAAGACAATAGAATTGGGCAGCAAAGACTCTAAACACGTTGAGCCAAATATCCTATATCAAGAAGAAATTCACATGTAATGACTTCAAAGTGATAGACCCTCAAATTACTTTCCTGAGTTTCCAATTCCAATCGCTGGTCATGAAAAGATGACCCCAAAATCCTAAATTTTGATGTACTGAGTTACCTAAGCAAAAATCACCTCAACTGATGTTAAAGTCATGTTTTACTCGCATTAAAAACAGAGACTAGGGAGGGAAATGACACAGACTGCACTTGCGATGGACAAATTTATTAAGCTATATCAAGAGAGTCATGAGAAGCATGATCTGAACTCAAAAACAAACAAATTATAGACTGGCAGCGTGCTTCAAATGAGCAATTAGTGCATGAATCTTTTGTGCATGACATAATGATTCCTGGTAATGGCAGCCTGATCAGAGGATTCCATAGTGAGTCAAATGGGGAAACTCCCTAGAAAATTGAAGTTGTCTGATAAGACACACCAACTCAGAATCAAGGGCCCATTCCTGAATTCCAGCGAGCCCACCAGAGACTGTTCATAGTTTCTGAATCTATCATTTGTGAGTTGAGTTTAGAAAAAAAAAAAAAAAAAAGGACAGGAATTTTCCTAGGAAACACCCATGAATATTTTCCGTATCTACTCTGGGTCATTTGCACAGAAACTTTTATTTTTGTTGATGGGAATTATTTCCACAGAAATAGGTATAATGGAGGGTAAGCTATTTCTTAGAAGTATTTCATCCATTCAGTAAATATTCAGTGCCCAGAGCATATACTGTTCCAGGCACTGGAGAACAACAATGCAGAGCAGTATTTATCCTTCGAGACCTCTTCTACTTAAATAGATGCACTTCTTATGAAATTTAAATATTATAGGAGTCATTAAGACATAAAAAGTCACAGAATAATGTCAGAAAATCTATGGTTTAAAAAAAATCCTTTGGGACATTATTATAAGCTGTTTGGATCACTGAGTCTTAAAAATAAATCAATAGAGAAAAGTGGACGGCTGCAAAATTTTCTTTGGAAATTACCAATACTGATGAAATAACGACAGTGGTTATTGATCTCTACGGTACAATACCAATTACAGTTTGTGTCAGTTACACAGATTTTGGCGATGCTGCACGGCACAAGATACCTGAAATAGAACAGCATAGACTTCCTTTTCTTAAAGGGAGAATACCTTGCTTTGCAAAGCTAATTGAGTGAAAGTTAACAACTCTTTTCAACATATACTTAAAGTTTCTAGGGAGAAAGAGTAAAAAAAAAAGTTGCACCTCATCAAGACCATTTTTTAAATGATTTATGCCCCTTCACAATAAATTTAAAGTCTAATGTATAGATAATTTCTTTAATTAAAGTTAAAAGATGGGATGAGGCAAATCGGATTTGCCCTTTGTCTAACAAAAATAATCTGTTTTCTTTCTTTCTTTTTTTTTTTTTTTACTGGTATGCCAGCTCTCTATATTATTTGCTTCTCCCTTGATTTGTATGTACCTTAACCTTTCAACTTGTTCCAGTTTCCCGTCCTGGGAGGTTTAGGGGTATGAAATTAAAATATCAACTCAGAGGTGCCTCTGAGCCATGAGAAACATGGCTTGAAGTCTTGAAATTAAAAACCCAGAGTTTTGGCCTAAATCCCACTTCTGAATTGACATGTGATCTCTGGCAAGTTACCAAATTTCTGGTTCTAAATATATTTAAAACAAAACTCGTTTCACCTGCCTTAGAGAGACATTGGGGAAAACTAATGCTGAAAAGCGTGGCATCTCTCCTGAAGAAGTTCATGCCACTCTAGCAATACCCAAACATTCTGGGCTTGGAAAAGTGACCGTCCTTTAAGGCTGAGCAGAGCTGTTTGGCACTCTAAAGAAAACCACTTGCCTCACATGGATGTTAATGGTTCCATTTGGCATTTTCTCAGGAACAAATTTTTCTTCCCTGGTCAAACTTCTGATATCCATGAGATAACCTTCGGCCCCCTAGAATATTCACAGAAGATATATATGGCCCACACTTGGAACACTTCTAACACGACTGCCTTGAAGTCTGAACCCATGAAGCAACAGTGACCCCCAGTGGCCAATGGGGTGATCTTCTTAACCCCGATTTGTGCTCCGAAGAAGAGGTGAATAATTAACAGTGAAGTGATTACCGTCCAGTTCATCCTGGTGGCGACTACTAAATAAATCAGTGCTCCTTGATGTGCTTGGTTGTATTTTAACAACAAAGTATAACTATCGCTATAGCAGTGGTAATAATATGTCTGTGTTAATTAAATAGGGTGTTTGCTAGGGTTCATTATGATTAGCGTAGAATCAAGAACAAATGGTTTTTGTTGCAGTCCTGTTGTTGAAAACACCCTAGAGTGTGTTAATCCCCTGTTTGGCAACTAAATTGTTTTTAGTTAAGTGATTCCGGCTTAGATAACTGGATTCACATACCCACTCTACCACTTACTTGACCTTAGACATGTCATTTAAGCTTTTTGAGACTATTTCTTTATTTGTAAAATATTTAAAAATGGTAGTTTTGTTATAAGGATCACAGATACTATATATAACATGCCTGGCACGTAGCAGGTACTTAATAAATGATAACCATGTTGGTGATGATAGTATAGGAGATCGTGCTGAACGGGTAATGATGCCAGAGCGTTATAAAGTTGTTGAAACGAATTCGTTGCGTACGTACCTTAGGGATGAACAGTGAAGAGTGGGAAAGGAGTTCCACCTAACTTGTATGTTCTCCCATTTCTTTTCTAGTCTTTGAAGCCATCAAACCATGCTACCATCCAGAGTATAGTGAGAGCTGTGGGCGTCGTTCCTGGAATCCCTGAGCCTTGCTGTGTGCCAGAGAAGATGTCCTCACTCAGTATCTTATTCTTTGATGAGAATAAGAACGTGGTACTTAAAGTGTATCCTAATATGACAGTAGAGTCTTGTGCTTGCAGATAACCTGGCAAAGAACTCATCTGGGTGCTTAATTCAATCATTACTTTATTTAATGGACTCTCCCCCCCACCCTTGTTTTGCACTGCCAATGCATTTCATCCCAAAAGATCTTTTATAGTCAAAGAGAATGAGCAGACAGACTGACGATTTCCATCAAGGAGAACTGGACTGTGTTTGTCTCTGAATGTAACTAAATGCAAGATTTTCGTAACTATGGACATTTATTTCTTTTTTAAAAAAATTCACAAAGGAAAAATGATCACTCAAACTCTTTTTCAGAGCTGAGGACACACTGATTTATTTTTGTAAGGAGCTTTGAAAATAGGTTGGAAAAACACCAATAGCTTATCACTTATCTCTACTCATAGAGAATAGAAATTTTTCATATTTTGAAGTAGATTTATTGCCATAGATTCCTGAGCGACTCAGCAAGTGCTAAATAACCCAACCAACTTTTTTGTGTATCTTCAAATCTGTTAAGACTCTTGTTTACCTGTGTTTTTCCTCCATGTGTAATTGTATGAATAGGTGAGTGGAGAGTGTGGGCTGAGTGTTAAGAGTATATGTATGTGTGTACATTGCCAGGTGCCTGTCCCCTCTCTAGGAAGGTTTGCTTAACATGGTTTTATAGTTCAATCTACACAGGATTCTTTGTGTTTTCCATTTCATGTTCTGGCAAGCACCATTCAATTATAAGAACTTTACCAAAAAGGACAGAGTGATCCAAGAGCATATGCAGAGAGTTACCACTTGGCCCAGCCATTTAATTTGAAATACAGTTGTTTTCATTTCATTGCCTCCTAGAAAAGGGAACCTGCAGCCCACTTTTCAAAAACCCACATGTACTTCCTCTTCTTTTTCACGAATACCTTCATTTGTTCTTTTAAATTGAATTCAAAAATTCAATTAAATTTTTTAAATTAAATAAAAATTTGGGTTCTCTTGATATGCTTTTACTTCTTATGAAGCAATCCATAACTACCTGAGGCTCAAAAACGGATGGAATATTGGAGGTTTCTTGAAATGACCAAATTAATCACCATCACGTGTTGAATATCATTCTTCAGCCACGTCCAGGTCCAGGCACCTTTTCACATGTATCAAGGTTCAGCCATGAAATCTACTTTAGCAAAGCTCACTAAAAATTATTCACCAAAAAAAGGAAGTCAAATATAGACACTTTGTTTTTTTCCCCACTTCCACTTGTCACAACTATCCTCTTACGCCTTGCCCTAGAAAACATGTTTCAAAAATCTCTCTTTCTCCGAATTCGCATGTGTGACAACGATGTTTTCAGACCATGGGTTGTTGTTGATGTCCTATCTGTGGCCAACCCTCCTCTTGGTTGAGTCTCTGCTGACGAGAGACAACTAAGCCATTTCAGAGGCTGTGAAGTATCAGAAGGCGTGGGGTTTTGTTCTGTGTCTACCTAGAGCTACCTATCGTGGTTCATCATGTAATAAATATTTAGTGAGCATTTATTTTGTAAAAGACACTGTGTTAACTGTGTGTCTTAGCATCTTCACTGGTAAAATGAAGAGGTTGACTAGTTGAGCCAGAAGAACTTTCTGACCCTAAAAGTTTGGTTTTTAGAATATGAGCTACTTTGTACACATCTTCCTTAAATGGATGATACCAATAGATCTAAAAATACTACAAATATCTCTGTTCATAAACCAAAGGCAAGAACATTCTAGTCTTCAGCCTTTGGGGGTGAGTATGGAATTCCCCGTGGTTTAAGTCATATTTCTAAATTTCTAACTTATTTTTGGAGATCCATTTGAAGATGATTACCATGAAAGAAGCGCTTTGACACTTTTGGAGGACACAGAGGTTGGTGTGAGTATATATGAACTCGATGAATGAGACACACTAGTTAGAACTAATAAATTAAGTTCTGGTGCCTGAGTTACTATGGTTTCTTAGAGTTAATTTTTTTATTCTGGTAGCATAATTTTAAATATTCAAACTGAGATAGGTAAGGGACTTACTCTTCATAAACTTTATCAAAAATTTGAGCGGTGCCTGGGTGGCTCAGTTGGCTAAGTGTCCGACATTGACTCAGGTCATGATCTCATGGTTCGTGAGTTCACGTCCCACGTCAGGCGCTGTGCTGACAAGCTCAGAGCCTGGAGCCTGCTTCAGATTTTGTGTCTCCCTCTCTGCCTTCCCTCTCCCACCCATCTCTCTCTCTCTCTGTCTCTCTTCTTCTCTCTTTCTCTCAAAAATAAACATTTAAAAATAAATAAATAAACAAATAAACTTTATCAAGAATTTGAAAGCAAAACTATGTAATAGAAGTGAGCCAGTGTGTGGCCATCTTATCCTAGTCATACCATCTTTCAATAAAGAAACCTCTTTTTTGTTCGTAGATATGAGGAAATTCTTAATTTAGCTTTTTTCTCTAGAGATATATCAACCAACATCTCTAGCCATTCCCAGCATTGCTTTTCAGTCTTCTATCTAGATATCTGTTTGTTACCTTTCTTTTTTTTTTTTTTTTAATTTTTTTTTCAACGTTTATTTATTTTTTGGGACAGAGAGAGACAGAGCATGAATGGGGGAGGGGCAGAGAGAGAGGGAGACACAGAATCGGAAACAGGCTCCAGGCTCTGAGCCATCAGCCCAGAGCCTGACGCGGCGCTCGAACTCACGGACCGTGAGATGGTGACCTGGCTGAAGTCGGACGCTTAACCGACTGCGCCACCCGGGCACCCCTGTTTGTTACCTTTCTTAATTTTAACTGATGCCTACTTACTACAGATTAAATCCTACAATGGCCAGGAAAGTCTCTCAATAATAAAACTTTCTGAGTAATAACTAAGATTTTATTTTAATTAGCAACTTATATAACAAAATTGCAACACAATGAATCATCTTGGGAGTCTCTTAGCAATCAAAATATTTTTTGACCAGTCATTATGGCTGTGTGGCCTCATAACCATCATGTCACTACCACACTGAGGACATAAACAGGGAAAGTTTTATTCCCCCCAAATAAAGGAAGATTTCTTTTCAGTCGAGGGGGTTGAAATAAATGAAATGATATTTCAACTAACAAAAATTTACTTGAAATAGTTGGAAAATTAAGCGACTATTTCACAATTTCTTAGGTACTGGTATATGCATAACTTGTATATAGACTTTTTATAAATCTCCTGATATAAAAATGGCAATGGTGTAAGAAAAGAAATTATGTTTAGAAATGCCATTTCCTAAATCATGCATCTTTGCCTATTTCTCCCTCTTCTCTCCTGTTCCCCACTTCTCTTTCCAAACTGACATTCCACCCCCACTCCTAGATGTCACACACACACACACACACACACACACACACACACACAAACACACACAGAGTCACTTAAAAACGAAATTTTTTTCAATAACTGTTCTCTTGAACTCAAATTCAGGGGCTGTTGATGTCAATATAGTATTTTCAAAGTATCTTATTGTAAGCTGTGTAGATAATGTATACAATTTACAGGATTTGGGGTTGTGGAATTTAAACTTGAAGGTTGGACTCCCCAGATGTCAGGACTGTAATACTCCAGATACATTTTTACATTCACCTAGCTATATATTAATTGATGATCATTTATTCACTTAACATAGATGTTTTTATTTCTGAAAAAAAAAGCCTCTTGTAGCCTGTTTAATATTTTTATAGACAATTCTATGTGTATAATACAATTATCAGTCTTCCATAATTTCTTTCTATAATTACATTATTCAGTTTAGTCTTTCTCCTTTCACTTTTCTCTGCGCTAACAAATAACTAGTATCTGGATATTGACTTCTTGTTGAATCAAGGTTGGTTTAAAGAATAGCTATGCACGCCTGATGTATAAGATTACGTCTAAAATTAGAAATGTGGGATAAATCTGACTGCTCTGTATAGCTTTTTTTCCCCTGGAGAATTGTATTTTAATGTAGTATATAGGCGATTAAATGACCACCCCTTTTCTAAAAACCAAGCCTTCTTTTCAGCTTTTCACACTAGTTTCTGTAAATGTCTTAGTCCAGAATTTAATGCTTGTACAGTTAATGGCGATTTAAAATATATATATTATATATATATATATATGGAAAACTTTAAAGATGCTTTTAATTTATTTAATGACTGTTGTCTTTCTATAATGGTAATTTTCATCCTTAAATGGTGAGAAAAATTCTTTTTACTATAGTTATTACATGCAAAATGGAATTTGGTTCTTTAGTCAAATCCACTAAAGGGGCACATTGCAGTGAAACTGTGCAGAGCACTTCACTACTGATGTATAAGCTTTGCTGACTTTGTATCATTTTCTTCCAGTAATGGAGAGCTTTTCATTATACAGTATGAAAATAAAAATTACTTAATTGAATGTTTCCCCATTCTTTTCTACTACAATTGGAAAAGACTGCATTTGTAAAACTTTTTCAACTGTGCTGCATTTGAAAAGAGGTTATAAAGGTTGGGCACAGACTTAAATATTTACAAATGGTGCCATGAATGGTCAACAAAGCATGATTACATTGTGGAACAATACAGAAACACACCCGGGAGGTGAAAACATGTCTTCCAAACTGGAGTAACTCAATTTGAATTCTTTTGTGTTTGGTTTTATATTTCTTCTTTAACCACAAAGTCCCCATTTCTTCATTGGAGATATTTTTTCTGGGTGCCTGATCCCCTGGTATTTCATCATTTATTATCACCATGTTCTAGGTACATTTTGGGATGATGAGTATTTAAATTAATTAATCTGATCATCAAACTATATTGCATTATTTTTGTGTACGTACTAGCTTTGTCTTTAAGAAGAAGAATGACCTGAGGTCAAGAAGTAAAATATATTTTCATATTATTTTCACTCACTTAATGTATATCAGATGTATTCAGACTGTGATATTTAACTAAAATCTATAGCATTTTGGGATTATAAGGCACTTTAGAGGTCATGTTGAGCAAATTTCTTAACCTATCTGTGCCCCATTTAACTTATCTATGGGGCACCTGGGTGGCTCAGAGGGTTAAGCATCCTGTTCTGGTCAGGTCATGATCTCACAGTTCGTGTATTTGAGCCCCGTGTTGGGCTGTCTGATGTCAGTGCAGAGCTTGGTTTAGATCCTCTGTGCCCCCGTCTCTACTCTGCCACTGCTCGTGCCCTCTCTCTCTCTCTTTCTCAAAAATAATAAACCTTTAAAATGGGGCATAAACTTCCTGCCCCATAAGGTTGTTACAAGGTGCAATAAGATAAGATGTGTAAATTATTTTGCCAAGTGCCTGAAATAGAATAAAGGCTTAGTTACTATCAATTATTACTATTATTATTATTATTATTATCAAATCGAGTCTTCTCATTTCCCAAAGAGTCTTCTCATTTCCCAAACTATACTCTAGTTTATACCTATTTGGATGTCTCCTGATTATGCCCTCCTTTAAAATCTGGCTGCCATCAACAGGGATGGGTTCCTTGACACATGACAAATATGGTCATGGAACAAAAGCTGAAACAATATTGGTAAAGCTGGGAGGATATTTAGCAGCAATGCTGCCGAAGAGGGTTGTAACTCTTTTGCACCAGGCACGTGAAAAAGTTTAAAAACCAGCGTTCAGCGAAAAAAAATGGGGCACAGATTAAGCATGGAGTTTCACAGAGTAAGGAGAGTAGCTGCCTTGTTTCCTGATGATATTATGGCTTCTGTTCTTGTCTCTCATAAACTGTACTTCCTGTCCTTGGATTATATGAGATATTCCAACAAACTCCATAAAATGCTCACTCTTCTGAAGCAGAACTGAGCCAGTGTCTGTAAATTGTAACCAAAAAGAATCGTGAAGACAATATACTGAACTTCTGAGAATTCCCGGGGCCATACAACAAACTACTGGAAAATTTGGTATTTAGAGCCCTTTGTAACATTATGGAGAGAACATGGTCTTTGACATCAAACTGACTTCCAGTGTGATCCTGGCACTGCTAGTTATTACCAGGATGACAAATGCCTTTGAGGAATATTGACTGGGTTATCATACCATCAAGGTGGTCAGTTCTGTGACTAAGAGGGGCTTGCAAAGGAGTTGCTATTGTAATAGGTTGACTCGGTATTTGTGCCAGAGGATTGCCTTGAAAAATCTCTTACGATTGGTCTTTGTGGCTATTAGAAGATGTGGTGGAGATTGGGGTAGAGAATAAGAACTTTGAGCACAAATCCGCATCCTCCTAAAAATTATTTAGTATTACCAAGGATTAGCTCACATTGCACAAAACTGTCACGGTTGGTGGAGATGTGCTTGTTGATGCAGAGCATCAGTATCTAAATTGTACACAGTCTCAAAACTGGAGGTTAGCTATATGTAACTATCCTCAAGTGAATATCAACCAATAAAACCAGAGTATACAATAAGAAAAAGCACAATGCCACAGGGTTATACGTTTAGATTCACAACACACAAAATTAAGAATCCACGAATCTTTTCTTCATGCTCTTTTGTCCACACACACATACAAATAGATGTTCTCACAGTATGAGTTTTTAAATTTAATTTGGGTTCTAATATTTGTATTTTCCAGTTGCACTTGCTGTAACCCCGGACTTTAGCCCTGGCATTGCTCAGCTCCGGGCTTGTGTGCTTTGCTATGTTTCTTCACCTCCTGGTGGCCTCAGCTTTCTCTTAGGTGGTCTTTAAAATCGCTTCTTGCTCTAGTACCCTAGATTCTAGGATCCAAACATCCTTACTTAATTTAGTCACAACTCCTAAGCATTTCAGTCCTGATCATGTCTTAGGAAAAAACAGCAACAAGAGCAATAGTGAAAGGGGAAGTGGGAAGAACATCAGAAAGAACTGAGGAAATAGGTCGCCATCCCTCAACTTGGAAGGAGGTCACAGATTCTGTCTCGCTTCTGTTGCGTGATGGGGGTCTGCCAGACTCTTGTCTCTTTCATAAACATACTTGAAGCATTCCTCTTCTCATTTTAACAGCAAAGAATAATTTTTAAGAGCTAGATTCATCTCAAAAACAAAGCAAACAAACATAGAAAAAGCAGAACCAGACTTACAAATACAGAGAATAGACTGGTGGTTGTCAGAAGGACAGAGGGAATGGACAAAATGAGTGAAGGGCAGTGGGAGACATGGGCTTCCAGTTATGGAATGAATAAGTCACAGGGAGGAAAGGTCCAGCACAGAGAACACAGTCAATGGAATTGTAATAGCATTGTGTGGTGGCAGATGATAGCCGCACCAGTGGTGAGCATAGCATAATGTATAGTCTCATCGAATCGTTATGATGTATACCCAAAACTAATGTGACATCGCGTGTCAACAGTATTCAAATAAAATTAAAACACAAACAAAAACCAAATTTATCTACCACTCTTTGTAAAGAGAATGCATCACGGAAGTTACGAGCTCAGGATTGGAGCCAGATTATTTGCATCAGCATCTCAACTCTGTCAGTACTAGCTGTGTGGACCTACAGAAGTTATAAAACGTCTCCATGCTTCGGTGTCCTCGTGTGTACAATAAGGATGAAACACAGAGCCTACCTTGCAGGGTTGAAAGGATTACTTATGACATGTGAAACACTTATAACTATTCATAATGCAGAGTAAATGTTCTATAACATTAGCTTTTTTGGTATCTTAAATGTACTTTATACACTTTCACGAATGAGTCCTCTTTTGAACTGAGAAGGCTGGTCTCAGCAGTATCCCCAGTTTATCCATCAAGAATAATTGATTTAACCAAGGTAAGAGCCATACTGGTGTCACAGCTGGGGTTCCAGCAGTAGTAGTAGACTTGCTCTGATTGTCCTATTCTCTTCCACTTTCCTTCAGATGCCTCTTCCTAA